TCTCGGACGAGAGTTCGCCCCCATGGATGCCCGTTCACTCTGCGCTCAGGGAGGGGGTACCGGGGTGTCCCCGCTTCTCTCCCCATCCAGCACTGCCCTCCGTGCCCAAGTAGCGGCCTGGGTCCTCCGGGCTCCCACGGCAGACCCTGCCCCAGATGATGGGGGACAGTCCAGCCCCCCTCTTTCCCCCCCCTCTCCCTCCCTCACACCCCCCCCCACTCTCAGCTGCAGCCTGAGGTTCCCCGAGCCCCGCGGGGAAGGGAGGGTTGCCAGCCCTCCAGCCGGCCGTCTCTGCGGCCTTGGGGTCAGCCTTTCCTGGGCTGGGAGGGGGCAATCTCCTGCTACACCCACCCTCAACCTGGAGCAGCACGAGCTCCATTTGGGCCACCTTCTCCATCCATCCATCCATCCCACAAGCCAGGGAGCCCACAGGGCCCTTCTCCCAGGCCCCTAAATTCGGGGTTGTGCTCTTTGTCTGCATTGTGGGGAGGGAGAGAGGAGGGGTAATTGGAGTTCTTCTCTGTATCCCTTCCCCCCTCAGCCCTAGCTGCAGAGCTGGTACAGCCCTCCGCCACCCCCCACCCCCCCTTTTTCTCCTACTGTTTGGCATCCTGAGACTCCTGCTGCCAGGGGAGGGGGAGAAGTTGGAGGATGGAGTTTTGTGGGGGAGATGCATGGGGCATCTTTGAGGTTCCAACCTGACCCAGATGTTGGCATCATGGTTTGCGCTCTTATTTCCTTCCACCACACAGATTTTGGGGGAATGGTGAGGGCAGATTTGTTTGGGGGTTTTTTTTTCCTTCCTGGGGAGAGGGAATTGCATGTTCACAAGCTTTTCTTTTTTTAAAAAATCTGGGTGTCTTCTTCCCCTCCCCCCCTGCTCCTTTCTGGTGCAAATTATGCCCAGCTGATGTGGGGGTGGGGAAGCTGGAAGAGACGCTCCACGGCAGTAGCTGCAGATGATCCGAGGTAAAGTCTAAAAGTCTGACGGGAAGGGGAGTGTGTGTGAGCAGAAAGCCTGCGCGTGAGGGCCAACACAGCTGGAGCTAGTCTTCTGTAAGGGGCCTGAGCTGAATTTTGGCGAGGGATCCCAGGTGTGGTAGGTTCATCCACTGCTGGCTTTCCATGTGGGCTGTGTTGCAGGGGGTTGGCGTGAGATCCTTGAGGAGTTGGACAGGTGGGGTCGGTTTATGGGGCACTGGTTATATTTCTGCTGTGTGTAGACATGTAACCCAGTCCTTGTAACACTGCAGCATTCCACCCCCAATGGGTACCCATGACCCGTATGTCCTCATTTCACACTGGGGAAGATTTAATTATGAAGAACGAGGGTGTTCTAGGAGCCCGATTGCCCCCTCCTCCCGGTATCTTTAGAGGCAGAAAGGGAAGAAAGCATTACATCAGTGGTTTTCTCATGGGTGATGGCTGGCAGTCCTGTTTTGGAAGGAGAGGGCCCGGAAATAATTCTTGCAGAGGAGCGCTTATTTTTCTGTGTTGGTGACGGATGCTCTTCGAAAACGAGACGCCGATACGGGACAGGCGGTGTGCGGGAGGTAACCCCAATGGCGGCTGCCGTGGAGCACTTC